ACACACACACACACACACACACATGACGCTGATTAGCACAAAACACTATAAGCAAAGCAAAACACGTGCTTTATTTATTTAGAAAAAATCTAACAAAATAAAAAATTCGAAGATGGAGAAAGTGAATTGGATAAGTGTGCATGCAGTAAGCCATGTACATTCATCCCTACACTTTGCGTGAAATAAGCGATGAAATTTAGAAAAATATATTATAGATGAACAACTGGAATAATTTTAATAAGTACCACAGTCGATATTAACGGTAGAAATGCTACTCAAAAAAAAAAAAATTTTGCCCTATTTCTACTCTTTACTATTTCACTTTGTGTTAAAGTGCATTATAGATGATTGCAAAATAATAACTGAATCGAAGCTGTAGTACTAAATAAACAAGTAGGACGACATACAGCAAGTGATCTCAGTTACATTTAATTTATCAATATTTAGTAATATCTGAAAATTTTTTTAGTAATACCTGAAAAAAAAACTGTAGTACTAAATAAACAAGTAGGACGACATACAAGTGATCTCAGTTACATTTAATTTATCAATATTTGGTAATATCTGAAAATTTCCGAAAGTAAATCGTACTGTACAATAAAAGTTATATCTTTCAATCCGGAATATCGCAAAAAATTTAAAAATAATTAAGTGAGCCCAGTCAGAGATTCATTCATTATTCATTTGCTACTCAAATATCTACAAGAAAATTGCGAAGCGATAAACCAAGTTCTTCTTTAAAACAAATATCCTTATTTATTGCGTGCATGAGGAATATACATAAAGAATTTATCCCAGGTGTACATTTTTTAGTTGATATGAAAGTGCGCTTGTTAGTGCACTTTTTCCCATTTTAGAATGCAAAAACGAACTATAGAACATTACACGCTAACAAATCGAGGATATAGTCTGCTCCCATATTCCTCATTCCTCTCAGCGACACAATACAATATAAGAAGGCACATAAATATTACTCGATTACTATTCATTGTTTATTTCAAGGATTGAAAACGATGTTTGCTGCTTCGCTTTTTTTCAGGGATACATCTAATGACAATTACTTTCATCGATGAGAACAACATTGCTCCGTAAATAACACTCCAGTTCTTCTATCCTTTCTAAAACATTCAAAGCTGATTGTTTAACTTATTCTTATATTAGCCTTTATTTAAATGCATTACATTCATAATAATTAAGGAATAATTTCAAAACTGTTACTGTAGCAACCTATGAATAAATAAAATCTACAATACTTTTTTTAATATAATATGAAATCCTACACCTTGTAGTGAGCTTGAGCGATGATGTTGTTCTGCAACACTCGATTAAACTGGTGTAAATGATATTATTAGATTTATGACACCTTCTTTGCCTTCACCCTAAACACAAATTTTTTTTTGCCAAAACATGCATTTTCGGAAGTTATTCCAATAATTAGCTCAACGACTGTCTCTATATGCATTCTATTTACACAAAATTTTTTGACTTTAGATAGAGCTCTAGTTTGAAAATTTTCTTGGAATGAAAAAATTTGTGCAATCACCTGTTCTCCAGAAAGTTGATACCAATCATCGATTATCACACCGCCGAATATGCCATTTGGAAGTATTATATGTGCCCATGCAATGCATTCATCAGCAGTAAATGCTCTCTTCAAAGCATACTGAAGTTTATACAAACAAAAACAGCGAAAAAACAGAAAAATGAGAATCAGTGAGGATTCCGAAACAGAAAAAGTAAAAAAAAAGTTCTCACTTCATCAAAAACTTGAAGATAGAGCGATTCAACACCATATGGTAAGTATGCATTGATGATACGATTCCATCTCGGCGTTTTACCACCGTTTATATTTCTTGGTGTTTCAAAAACGGCATTCCCTATCCTCACACAACAATAAGGATCCATCCGCATAAAACCATAGTTTTTTACTAATTTGGCTTCTACAACTGTTATCGAAATGCGACCACGTGTATTTGGTGGCACAAAACTATAGAATGCATACTGAAAACAAATAGAATGGAAGCCTCAAAATACTGGAGTAGAAAAGCCAGCCTGTCTCTCCCAATAATCTCTTATTAAAAAAGTGACTACTGAATGGATACCTGTGCTTGTAAAAGATTTTGCTGGGCAATCAAATCGGAATTCGCAATATAAAAAGGAACCATAGATGGCTGTTGCCCTTGAACTGAAATTGGCGACGGGATAGTTATGCGCAAGAAATCCTCTGGTAATTGATCCAAAAAAACCTACAAATCAATTTTTTTTGATTTGTCAAACCTCTCGAAATCGTGTTTATGTTATCTACACCAGTTTATAAAACTGTATTTATCAGAGAAAGAAATACATGGATAATACTATTACTTACTATTATTTAAGGTTTATAATGCAGAAGGAACTGGTACTGTAAGGACATGAATCGTTTAAAGAAAAAAACCACTTGGAAAAGTGGAAAGATAATTTTGAAGGTAAGGAAAACTGACAGATGAAAAAGGAATAATTCCATAATTATAACATAGAATATAATATTTTCATATCACCACTAGAGAAAATCTTAGCTAATACTTAACTCCGAGTACAAGTACTAAATTATGTAGTACACTTTTTAAAAAAAAATGTTTATGCAATTTCTGTAATATTTTGTTACATGCAACATTTGCTATAAAAGCTATGAATTCATAAGTGGCAATTTATCGTTGCAATAACCTTCTTTCGTCGCTCAGCCGCAATAGTCCGTACGGGTTTTGTTGAAGACGAGTAAGGTGCTGCAGATGTTGAATTCATTTTTTAAGCTGCTGCAAACACATGGTTTTAGCCAATTTCGAATCAACAGTCTAGTGTTCTGATCTATTTTTCAAGAAAAAAAACCTCGCACTCCACTTTTTCCGCATAATGAACAACAAACTTGAAAACAAAATAGCAAATTAAAAGATGATTGTATACTTATTCTGAAGCTTAATTTGGTGAGTTCGCAAATATTGAGAAAAAATGAATGCACTATTTCAAATACGGCATGATATCTAAAACAGGTATTACTTAGAAATGTAATACCAAAATATTTAGGTGGACCATAGTAGACACTGTTTCTACAAACGTTGAATCATAAAAGTATAATAATTTATTAGCAATCAGTGTTATCAAAAACATGAAAATTGAATTTGAGCGATTTTCAAGAACTAATTTGCAACTTACGTAACAAGCAACAGTGCAATCACGATCAAAATATGTACGATGATGTACGAAATAAGAATTCTACTCTCAACAGTTGTACAGAACATCATCACTTCAAATTCTTATTTCGATCAATATTTGTCTCAAAAATTCTTAAAAAACTAACGAGATGCAAGTTAGCATGATTCCCACTATTAAACCTTGTTCAAATTTATTCACTGCAGTAAACTAAATGACAGCAAAACATGACCATAAGACCGGCTTGCATTTGTGCCAAATATACATATATATCGAATTACTTTGATGCTATACTCAATTTATAATAAAGTAAAATAGGTTCTACCTTTAAATTTAAGTAGCTGGATTATGTATAAACGTTAGTCAAAGATAATAAAATAAAAATTGGCACAATTTGAAATCCAATTACATGCAAGATTCTCTGAAATCAGCATTATGAACATCTATCTACAATTGAAAGGTGCAATGAAGATAACTGTTTCGTACATCTCATAATTGCCGCACACCTAAAACATTTATGGTGTCATAATCAATTTAATCAGCTAAACAAAAACAAACATACCATATCAACATGTTGGTGGGGTTACTTTAAGACACAGTTTTTTCTTTGCCTCCAAACGGTGATGTGAAATTTATGGGATCATGGTAGATGGTATTTTCCATCCAAATGAAGAATACTTTTTACTTTATTTTGTTGACCATTTTAAATAAGCTTTTTTTTATATTTTTCTTTTCTTAATTTGAATTATTTCAATACAGCGCTTGTGATGAATGATTGATACTCAAACAATTTTGAATCCAGATAGTAAGGCTCGAAGAAGTGGAAGAACCAACTATTTATTATCAAATATGTGAAGACAAATGAATACCGTGTTGCTTTATTAGTTGGTTCAGATATCAAGATACCATCAACTTCATTAATTTTCGCATTCAATGCACCATCGAGAATTAAATCAGCAAGGAGCACCAAAACTTCATCAACATTAACGCGAAGTTGTTGAGCAAGAAATGACAAGTAAATCCGAGAGTATGGTACACAAAGACTTATTAATACCTGTAACGTACAAATTAATTGAGTCTAATATGTTCAACTGCTGAAATGTATATTGCAATGTGAAGAACGATGATATAACCTGCGAACGAATGTTGGTAAGCAATTCTTCAATGTGTTCACGAATAAATAGATCGGCCATAATGGCATCGCGATTTTCTTCAAGAATACTCTCAAATTCTACCAAATTATTGTCTTGGTAAGCTCCCACAAGTTGATTCATTGCAACTATTTCAGGATCATTGCGAAACGGTTTTGCTTCTTGACTATCAAATGGATTTATTCCAGATCTGAAAAACAAATTAATCAACTATCAAGAATATATGAAAACAAGCAACGGTTTTCTTGTAACAGCATTTTTGCATTTGCAGATTTGAAATGAAGTAAGTGCAATCCCAGTCTAGTGACTTACTTAATAAGCATATTCGCAAGCACCAAATATTTCAAACATGCAATTCTTCGTTCTGATCCACTTTCATCATAATTTTTAAATGCTTCGAAAAAATCGGTATGAGCTTTCTCAAACTGCTTTTCTCGCAAATGCATTTTTCCTCCACATTCTAGAAAAAAATTAAATCCAGGCTTCTTTGTTTCATCAGTTTAGAGAATTTATGGAATGATATGAAGCAGCTCCATGGACACAACTAAACGTGGACAAAAACAAACCACGAATGACGCCCATAATAAGTGGATGTGGTATTGCACTTTTAACATGCAAACTTTGCTCGTAGAGTGCTTTCAAAGCTTTGTTATTCTTTTGTTCTGTGTACATCTGAATTTCAAGGGCATAAATTTCGAGCAGTTGAGTACCCTTCTTCTGATCTTCCTCGCCAAGTTCATTCTGAAATGAAAGTCCCTAAAAACAATTCAGACTCCCATTCAAGTATTGCATTTTGCAAAGCACAATAACGCTGAATCCTGTAAGATGCATACAGTTCACATCATATAATTTGATTAGAAATCCTTTACCTTACATGAATTCCGCAATTGCTTAATTATTTTCTCCAGCTTTCCAAATTCTTTTTGGTCAAAATATAGCTTTCCAAGTTTCGTGTTCGTCTTAAACCACAGTCGCTCATTCTTAGCATCCTAAGTAAATGATGTATAGGGAAAGATGAAAAAACTAAATATAAACTTGATAGTAAGAATACTATTATACATCCATTTTAAAAAACTGGCACTTCATTTAAAATTCATCTAAAACAATTCACCTAAAACAATAGCAGTGAAAGCAATGGCCTACTATTTCAATTAATGAAGACAATGGCCTATTACTTCAATTAATGAAGGCAATGACCTATTATTTTAATTAAATTCCTAGCAACAGAAAGAATACTAAACAACCTTTAATGCATCCAATGTTGTTTCGTAAAATATCTGTAACAAATCCATTTGTTTTGATGTCGAAATATAGTCCAAAATCGAATTTATTGACTTTTCTGAATAGTTCTTCGTAACGGCTGATTTGATGTAGGTAAGTAATTGCCGATAATATTTCAGCATTTCATCATAACGATTCTACAATACATATTCGAGGTCAACTTCATCAAATTTCAAATTTGAAGTGCAAAACAAAATGTCACAAATGATGCTCATTGCTAAGGTACTGTTCATTTATACTCGAAACAAAATAATACAGTTACCAATAAATGAAATGAAAAAGATAAGCTTACTGCAGCAAACGTTATTTTGACCATTTGCTTAAGCGCTTTAAATCCCCATTCTCCCTTTTCACTTTCCAGCTCTAACACATGTTTAAAAGTCTTTAAAGCACTATCAAATTCTTTTTCTGCTTTCAAAGCTTTTGCATTGTAGTACTGATTCTCCAAATCCACATCCGGTTCGCTAGCTGAATCATCCGAATATTCCTGCATTAAATATACCTTGATTAATTTGGATCATCTTTCATCTCTCATTCTTAATATATTTTCCTCTACTTCATCAAAATCAGCAAAATTAATGAAGTGAAATAAAGCAATATACCAAGCCGTAATCCTGATCATCCATAAAATCATCATCCATTTTTGACCATTCACGTGACCACTCACGTCCTCCTCCACGTGACAATGACTGTAATTAGCTGTACCGACTTTAACATTCCACACCGTCACCTCTTTTCACATCGAACTCACTATGCAATAATCACATCTTAATTGTTTATTTTTATATTTCGAGAAAAAAAAATATGAAAAAGAAGAATTTATTTATTTGCTAAAATGAATTGGACCATTTAGCTTCAACAGTTATCATTCATAACACATCGAAATAAAAGGTTATGATTTTTCGTGCAGAATATATTAATAGCATTAACAGAAGGAGAGAGAGAGAGAGAGAAGGAGAGAGAGAGAGAGGCATTCACTGACTCATATATAATTCTCTTTCCGCTTCATTCCTGTATTCCATAGATAGAGAAGGAAGAATTTCAGTTTAACATTTGTTAAAAGCATTTTTTCATTTTGATCATAGAAAGCTTTCACTTTCTTCATTTTTTCACTTTTCCATCAGAGGTTTGGAAATCATAATTGGAAGAGATGCATTGATCAAAATGAAAATATGCTAATAGCAGCTAATAAGCAGAAAGTATTCAGAATGATCGGTTGCTTTTTAAATGTATGGATAGTTATAATACAAGAACTGTAGCGGATTAATGATAGCACTAAAGGCTTTTTTTATTGAGCATCCTTAAGTTAGAAATAGTAATTCCTTTTACCTCGTAATTCTCCAAATCTTAATTTCCCACATCTCGCCCTACTCACTAAATTTTTCATTTCAAAAGAAGCGCATATCGGAAAATAACAAGAAATGATTTGATGGATAAAGCAATTAATTTAGAACTGCAGAAAATATTCATTTTTAGTTTATTAAATTTATTCAATTTTTTTTCAATGTGTGTTTTTTAATTTTTTTCATTTTTTTTTTTTAAATTTTATTTTTTTGCAGCGAAATTTAAGCGAAAATATGTTTAAAATATTGATGACAATACTTGAAGTGAGCATTGTTTATCATGTAAATTATATCGAAGGTCGTCACAGTATAGCATATGTGCTTGTACCTTTGTCATCTGAGACTGCAATGCGTTTGGTTTGTTCAATCTTTGAAACATTCGAATATGACCTAACGAACTATCGGGCATTTACTGCCAACCGCTTAAAGTTGAAATTATCTTTTGAGAGCTTTATTCTTTCATGGTACATTTGAAATTCGAACATTTTAGCAAGATGGCGGCACGGACTGTGGCGCACTCCTTTTGAAGTATTTCTTGAACAGTGATAAGTCAATCTTGAAAATTTAATATGCATCTGTGAATTTAAAATGCAAAAATAATTTTGGAAAGAAGATATTCTTTACACTATAAAATTCAATGTACTAAATTAGTGTGTATTGGAAATTTGAAAAAAAATTTTTCAAATTGATTGCAGGGTTTAAAACCAAATGAGAGTGAAATATTCATCCCATGCTCAAATTGTTTTTTCAAATTTGATCGATCTCGCGATCAACTAATACAGTATTACAATCGACCGGCATTTGGTAGAAAGCCTGAGCCTTGCGGATGCTTTGAATATGTAAAGAAAATTTTCACGAACCTTAAGAAACCAGCTCCAATAAAGGTGTCAAACGATATTATCATAATCGATGTTGGCACATATTACGGGGTTATTTCATTTTTCTTTTTCTCTAAATATTCATTGATTGATCAGATAGTAAGCTGTCATTAGCATTTTTGCTTCTTTTCATTATCAGAAGAGAGGTGACTAAAAAATATCTTCTTTCATCTTAATTATTCATCAATTAATTATTATTCAAACATATGATTATGAAAATGTAATTGTAATTTTTGAGGTGATGAAAACGGATCAATGTCGTTTGGATTCAATGAAACATGTACGTACAGTAAATGGACTGCAGCTAGCTTTATTGATGAGATGTTCGTGAAGAAAAAGAAGCTGTAAAAAGCCATTTCTTGTGGCTTATGGCTTACATGTAACAATCATTCCAATCTTTTTTTATTAGTGATATTATTGATAAATTAAAAGAAAAAAACACTAATTACCATTCGCTGTTAACTTGCAGTTAATTTAAATATTATGATCATAGATTCTAAATCTTATCTATTTCTTGAGGTCAGTTAAATGCACCAGACTGCGTTAAATGTCATCGTTACAGATTCTATGGATCATACAGTTATGTTTAATTGTATGTAACCTTGTACTCAAAAAAAAAATTTCCCTGAATTATTTCATATTTTCAATTTTCATAAGCAGATATTTACACAAAATTAGCATTGTACAAGCAAAATTACTATTGTACAAGCACTCTTTTTGTGCAAAACATTTGTGAACAGTTGTGTGAATAGTAAATTGAAAACATTTTTATTAAATCAACAATGATTATTGATAAAATATGACAGCTTAAATTTCACTCGGATAGAATATAAAAAAAATATTCGGAGTATGTTTTTTCCTTATTGAAATGATTTCAATTGAATTTTTCAGCAAAGTATTTTTTTTTTCAAAATCCATAGCTTGCAATGAAATTTCTACGAAAAATTAATTAAAGTTTTACTAAACTATCATTTTTTCACTCAGTAAAATTGAAAAATTTCCAAGCATTCTAAAAATTTATCAAAATTTTTATATCAAAGAGAGATCATCAACGCAATTACTCATGAGCATTCCGTGGGAAATCGAACTTTTTTTCGCAATCTACTTTTTCGAGATGACATATGTAAAATGGACTTAATTGGAATCATCGCTTCATTTTCTATGCTGTAACTATTCACACTGCTACTTCCCAATTCCTCCAAACTATTCTCTAAATTCTCTTCTTTTTCCACCAATTTCTGCTTATTTGATTTTTTTTCGGCTGTCACGTTCAACTGTCGAGAATTGATAGTTAAAGATATCTTTGCTGGAACTTCTAAGTGTTCTAATGAATCCTTTTCAGGCAAAACATTTTTGATTCTATCAGCAGATTTCATATTAATTTCGTCTGATTTCGTAGTAATGATGCTTTTTTCTGCATCCCTTAACGAAATTGGAATTAGCGATGTTGGAAGCGTTGGTGGAATATACGGCGAATCGCAAACATGTCGCAACGTATCGACATCGTTGAATGTATTAGCAAAAGGCTGAGAATAATGTTGAAAATATTCCGGCAGTGCTTCCGTACGTTTGGCATTTTTCAATCTCGATCTCAATATGAAATTATCGAGAATTAGAGATGGACCGAAATTCTTCACCAAATTTCTATTCTTTTCATTCGAATCAATGCTGAGATGTTTCTTTGAGACATTAAACGATGATAATTGAGATAGAATCTGTTCGTCCATTTTAATCTCCATTTCACTAAAAGAAAATTAGCAATAAACAGCATTGTATACTACTAGTAAGAACATTTGTATATGGAAAGAAATGAAAATTTCATTTATTTACTTCAAATTTCTCGAAACGAATCTTTAAATTTCTTTAAAAATTTAAAATATTAAAATACTGCACCTCACATTGTAATTTAAAAAAAAAAAGAAAAAAACTTATCCTTACAAGATTCAAAAGAGTAATAAGGAAGAGAGAGTGGAAGAGAGAGGGAGAGAGGGAGAAAGAGGGAGAGAGAGAGGGAGAGAGAGAGAGAGAAAATTTACAATTGCTCCAGCAAATTTCCAAAAGCATCCTGTGTTTCGTACAAATGATAGAGTTGTTCCGGAACTTTACTGTGATTCATCTGCACTTCACATAAATCCGTTGTACTTCTATACTGCTGTTGTTGATTACTGGAGGAATATGCAAATGAACCAGCTAAATGTTCCAAAAACCTACGGTCATTTTTCTTCCTCTGTCCATTCGTTGATTTATCAATTATTTTTAAATCATTTGTTATCAAAGGAATTTTTCTCAAAGAGATATCATTCGCAAACTCTTTCTCAATTTGATTGTAATCGTACTTTGCAATTTCATCATTATGATGATCACTGTAATATCCGCAATTTGTTGCTCTTTTTTCAAAGGATTCTTGCATTGGGATAAGATTTGAATTTATTCGAGTGCTTGAAATAGGTTGTTGCACATCATTCCAAGAATTTATCACAGATTTCAACCTAAGATAAATTTCATATTAATGTATGAAAATTTAATTAGTACAATAATTATATTAAAAAAAAAGAAACAATAATTTCTTATAATTTCTTACTGCATGGAACTTATCAGTCTTTTCTGTATAATGTGAATAGCAGGAATAAATATAAAATTCACTGTAAAATTCATGGAAGCATAACTTTAGATACCTCATCTCATCATTTGATACATCATTTTTCGATGTTTTTTCTATATCACGATGATAATTAACATTTTGCGTGACTGATAAAGGTTTTCTCATATTTGAAATATTACTGTTGGAAATTTGAGGAATTGTACTATTCAAATCTGATTTGTAATTGCTACCAGCAGATGATACCATATCAAATGATCTGATCTTAGCTATTGTTGGATTCTAAAACAGAATAGGATATAATATTGAATTTATACAATATGATGATTTATTAAATTTGTTCTTACCAGCACTTTTAAATTCACTTCACACTCTGTCATAAAATTTCATAGACCTTGAACGATCTTAATACTTATTTCAAGAAAAAATTGAAAGTTTAAAGAGTTTTTTATTCATTTTATGATTTAATTCTTGCAAGTGTATTACAATGACCAGAATTGGACAGTAACAAATTTACTTCTATATCATACTTATAAAAGTATTTTTTCCAGATACATCAATTAATTAGTAAACTAATTATTTAATATGTTGGTGAAGTTTTTCTCCAGATACACTAATTAATTAATAAACAACTATTTAACATTTTATTATATGCATAATTTGCACTTGTAATTTATTGATCAATAAATTTAAATTTGAAGAAAATAGTTCGAAAATTTCAAAACGAACCGTTTCAAAGAGATTTAGGCGCACTTTTTCAAATGCACTAAAATTATCGTCTGAAGTGCCATCTTTTGGAGCTAATTGATAATGCTGATTTGGCATACATGTGGCGCTTTTGTTCCTTCCATTATCACCATTCTCCTCTACTGCAGTTGGCCAATGAATTGTTGCAAATGTTGGTGCTGCCGCATCAAATTGTTGAATGGATAGAGAATTTGGTGCATCATTTAAAATATATGGCCAACACATGCTAGGCTCCTGCTGAACACCACAATAAACAATGATACCATTATGTGGCCCATAAATAGTAATTTTTGTTTTCATATCAATAAACACTTGATCATATGCAATATCTTTACTTGACATTCCTGAAATATTTTTTTTTTTACTGTCACAAAAAATAAAATTTGCTTCAGAAAATTAATTGCTAACAGGAGACAATCATATCAGTTTGAGCTAATGATATCAGTTTTATTCAATTTCTGAAGCTAAAGTAATTGATATCAGATATACCATCATATCCTTTTAATATGATGCCATTAAATTAAAGTAACTTTTGAAAGAGCTTTTTCCTGTTTAAATTACATCGAATAGCTAATTATTTTCATTTCTCCATAAAAATATGATTATTAGGAATTCTCAATGACAATATCACCATTAAATGTGATCAAATAAGTAATTAGCTACTGAATATTTACTACGTAAAAGAATTATTGCATGAATGAATGAAACACACACACACACACACACACACACACACACACACACACACACACACACACACACACACAAACATATATAAACACAGAAAGCATAAAGTAACCAACGTAAACAATAGCATAATGAAAAGTGAAGAAGCGATTTTTGTTAGGAGGGAAGGATGAAAGAATTCATTATTCATCGTGACACGTTGTTGAGTGCTATTGCATGTTTGTCTACATACCTGTCCATATACCCCAAACACCTTGAACAAACATCACATCATAGGAACTGGTCGTTGTCATCAATGCTACCCCTGCTTCCACTGCTATCTCTTCAGCTTTATTGAATTTCATCATTTTTCTTCAATCAACCAATAATAACTGTATAGCTGAAGTAAAGTAACGTTTAAGAACATGTTTTAATAAAAAAAAAATATATAATTACTATTGAATTTATCATTTCTACTATTGAATTTATCATTTCTAATATAAATTTAAAATGATTTAAACAAACACGGATGCAAATTGCAAATTAAACAAAAAACAAACAAGAATGCAAATAAACAAAAGGAGTGCAAATTGCAAATTACGAACTTCAAGAATTTCAAAAAAAAAAAGAACCAAAAAGTAATTTCTATTCTCAAGGAAATTGAGAAGTGATGAAAAAACTTGGAGATGTTTGATAAGAGGAATAAAAAGTAGTCATTGATAGAGTTGATATCAAAATAAACTTTCATTCATATCTAACTGATCAATACATTTTATAAAGTGATAAGTAAAAGAAAATATAACCATTATCTGAAGATGTTGATTTTATTTAGAATGATTATAATTTGACAATTAAAAGCTAAGGAATGATTGTAATTTGATGACTAATTAAAAACTTTAACATGAAATCATGTATAACTCATTGTTTTTCAATTAAAACAACGAATTATTTTTAAAAATTAGCACCATAATTATTTTCGGATTTTATCATAATTCATCTGAATGATACATTTGTCTTCTTAGTTTTAAACATGAAATAGCTAATTTCTTTTGGTTTCAAAATACTTTGATTGTCATCAGTCAGATTGATCATTTAATCCAGTTAACAAATTTCATTTTTAAAAAAAAAAAAAACGAAAAAGAGAGGAAAAGAAAAATAATGAGGAAAATTTTGAGAAAAAAGAAGAAAGAAAGAAAAGAGCGGAAGTTGTAAGGGGAAATTGGTGGAAAAAATGAAAGGGAAAGGGATGTGATAAAGAAGAGAGCTTTTGGGGAGGGGAATATGAATATAATTTCTTATACATTTTGCAAATCAGTAATATATGAATATATTTTGAACCAAACAGACACAGATGTTCTTGAAGAAGGAAAGAGATGCTAGCAGTATCATTACAAATATGCGCATGATGCTTGTGACACCTGCATTGTTGTGCTTCTATCTGCTAACATTTAGCAATTTGACAAGCATATTATTTGCACTTGATGAACCTCAATGGTGGTATGATCTATGTCATTTAAAATTTTAAAATATTTTTTAATCTTATATGATAAAATGAGAAAATGATATGCATGCAGCTAATACATTTCATCACTCTTCATGGTAGTAAATTGTATTTACAAGATAGTGTAATTTTTAGGAAGATTTACTGGATTAATTCTTCACTTCTTGAGGTTTGTTTATTGTCTTTTCAATTGATTATCAATCTATTTCATTTGAATCCATATCAAAAAGTGTAAAATTCGAATTCATTTAAATTATGGGTGATATATTTATATAAGTAATATGTCTTTTTTTTTTTAAATTATGATTTGAAATATTAGATCTCTGTGAAAATGTTTTTTATTTTCTAATTTTAACAGGATTTTTTTTTCCAAAGACGATTTTTTACGGGGTAATAATTGCCTTAAAAAGAAATTATCCGTTGCTGTTTTCTTGCATATTACTTGCTAGTATTTAAATTTTGAGCAATAAAGGATTTGAAAGAATTAAAACGATGAAATAAAAAATGCTACAATAACACTCTAAACGCCCAACCAAATCAGAATGTAATTAAACTATCAGAAAGTGATAAAATTTATTGAATTTTTGCAAAAAAAAAACAAAATATGTACGAAGTGTAGATAAAAGGATTATTGGACAAGCCATTATACCGTATCCTACAAAAAGATCCGGCTTTGATTGATGTCCTGAAAGAGGCACTACAAGATACGTTACGTGAATGTTCACGGCAGTCAATCATCCATCATTGGAGATGTAACGTTGATGGCGCACCTCGAAAAACGCTTTTCTCCAATGTTGCTTCATTTGGTAAGTGCTGTTGACCGGTTAATTAACGATGCAATACAATTCTAATATATTGGAATTAATTTTCAAATGTATTAGGAAATTCAATTTGATTTTTTATTTGTTGCAAAAAAAGATTTAAAATGATTCGTATAGTCATGATATCTCTGCTTAGCCTATAAATTAGCTATCATAATAAATTTGTTAATGTTAATACTCTTCCATAATTACTCGAAATGTATACGCTTTGGTAAATATTGTATCAAATTTTAGCTAGCAAGGAATTTGCATATTTCCTTGCACTTTCCAGTGCTGCAGCAGTACGCGCAATAGCTCATGCTTGTGCTCGTGGACGCCTTCGATCATGCTCGTGTGATCCGGCAAGGATCGGTCCAGTACACGCAGATCAACGTGACACATGGGCAAGATGTAGTGTTGACCGAGGATCTGACAATTTACGATATGCCATAAAATTGTCAAAGTATAATGTTCATCATATAAAATTTTAAAAATTGTTTGTTCGGGAGATATACAAATTCTGGATCCTTCTCTTCCTGATATTTTCTCGTTATATTTTTGCAGAGCCAAACGTAAAGAAAGTTTTATTATCATCGAATTGATCTATGCATTTCATTCAATCGATTCCAACATTTCTACTGTTTATTTCTAAAACAATTGTGATAAATGATAAGAGTATCAGTCTAATTAGCTCATTTTATAAGAGTAATCCTCTTCACTTTCCTTAGAATCGAACTATCTACCAATATCTCATGCAAATAATTTGAAATAATACCCTTAATTTCACTAGAATAGATAGATACTGACAATAAAACCATGAAAATCATAAATAAAATCATGGGCAACTTTTACCATTCTGTCACTATCAATTTTTTTAATCAGAGTTTAATCTCAAATTCGAATTTGAAGCAATTCATTAAAACATTTTTTTTTCTTCTCCAACATTATTGAGCAATGTACAAAATTATTGAAAATTTCATTACAATTTTTATGCTGAACAAGATTTTTACATTCCAATCATCAATTTCTTTTTTTACATTTCTACATTCTAATTACCAATTTCTTTTTTTGTTTTTGTTTTTAAAGAAGTTCGATTCTAATCTTCCCTTTAGTTATCACTTATAACCAAAAATTGTCATTTCTAGAAGAAGAAAAAAATAAAAAATAAACTTCGTTGTTGCCCTCAATTTTAGAATTATGAATATAAAATTGAGTTAAAGGAATTGGAAGAAAAAAAAAAAGATTCCATTCTGCATAACTTATAACGCTTCAATAGTTTCATACAAACACGCATATATTTTTTCAATATTTTAATATTCATTCCGAATGCCCTCACAATACTGGCGCATCCAATTTTTTTTTCTTCTCAAATTTATGAATTATCAAAACTTTTTTTTTTCAATTTCTTTCGTTCATTTTGTATTGCTCATTGACTGTCAAAATATAATATAACCTGGATGGGGTCATATTGTTACTAATATATAGATAGATTGTTAATATTTAATTAAAATTAAAATATATTTTCAGGCGTTTAATCGATCGTCAATTTGCTTGCTCATATTCTGATAGGGTGGCACAAATTTATCTCCATAATATTGCTGTTGGAAGATCGGTAAATGCTTATATATGTAAATTTTATGATGAAGTTTATCAGATTTCATTGTTATCTTTCTAGCATTTAAGCCATTGAAGCTCAACTTCTTTACCTTCTCATTTAAAGCATTTTTTTTATTTTAAAATATATATATATATATTGGTGCTGCTTCTCTTCTGTAATTTAAAATTAAGATATTCAAATTCTCGATTTCACAATAATTAAAGCATGTATAATTTGCAGCGTGTTGCCTTACACATTAAATGTTATTGCGTTTCGGCTTTCGGAAGCTGTCGACGGCGATACTGTGAAGCAAAAGTGGTACCATTTGAAATGACTGGTGATGCCATTATGGAATCGTTATTGCGATCACGTCGCATCCGACGCTCCAACAGTTTACCGACCTCACGTGTCACATGTCTAAGGCCACGAAATGAACGGAATATGCGGCGCAAGTACGTTTTTTTTTGCTTTTAAAATATATAATCAATCTCTCTCAATCTTTTCTTAATAACATCTAATTTTGCATTTATCATAATTTCACCAACAAAAATAGTGAATCTCTGTCATTGATGATAGGTTCATAATTTAGCTATTAAATTCATCTTTTAAACAATTTGTTACTGTACAATTTTTGCGCAATGACTCGGAAAATGTCATAACTTATTACTGCATTATTGTAATACTTTTAATAAATAGTACTACTGATTATTGATAAATATTAACGCTAATCAAATAGCAATAGAAAACCCTACATCACAGTACTATCTTTTTCTGATTTGTAGTAGGAAAGAATTATTGTTTCACATTATTCTTAGGACTTTTGTTCATGTTTCATTTGAGGTATATTGTGGAATTAAATATGTATATTATTTTATTTATTCGATTTTACATTTACAATTCTATATTGCTCTCATAATATCTTCTTACTATTTTCATTGCTATATCTTATACATATAGAAAATGAGATTATAACAGAGAAAAAACTTTTAATTTTACTTAAATATGATGAAATGAACAAAAATAGTGTGATATTTTTCATTTAAAAAAATTACATTTAAAATTTCAATGATAATTGCTTGCAAAATATAATCATTTTTATTGCAGAGTGGTACCATTATGGTTTATCGATACTCGAAATTGGATAATGCGTAATGGAAAATCTCGTCGACGATTGAAAACTTAATTTCAGTTATGATGAATTGTGAAAAAAAAAGAATAACAGTGATTGTTCACAATCAAAAAAAACATGAAACTTTTGAAAAATAAAAAATATATTTTTATTTTGTTATCTAAATTTCTGAAATTAAGATTTGAAATTAAAAAATAAATTCCTGCAACTTCTAAAACTAAGAAATGAGTTTTTGAAACTTTCGAAACTAAATTTTGAAATGATTCACAGTTCTTTTATTTTATTAACCTAATAACTGGCTGCTTTCGCTGTTACATTATATAAAACAGACATGAGGAAAGGAATCGAATTAATTCTAAAAACTATTATCGTACTAATATATTTTAATTTTTGAATTTGAAAATTCAAAATTAGAAAAGCAGTAGAATGAATCCAAGTAGGTAATTAAACTGTTTTTGTATTAAAGAATAAAAGATTTCCCATATCATCGAGAATTTAGAGCAATTTAACTACCCAAGCAAACATGAAAACAATCGTCTCATTTGAAGGATAATTTTTTGTCCTTGAAAAATGCTCTAGCTTTGCAAGAAGTCAAATAGAAATTGGTTCGGATTCGAACTGATACTTCTAACATAACATGCAAATTTTATTTATATTTAAAGTATCATATTTATTAGCAAAATGATAAGAAGGAAAAAAAAGTCAATTAGATTGAGATATTCAAATAATCAAATAATCAAAATATAGAAGAAAGAAGAAATATTTGAAATATTGATAGCGAATAATGCGCAACAATTGATAATTAAAATTATTTTTGTCATATTGAACATTTGATAATTCTTATTAATTAGTAGCAATAAACAAAGACAACCAAAAATGATCAAATGCCCGAAACTCAATTTAAATGAGTGGCTAACCTGAAAAGATTGAAGAAATGCTCAAGATAAGATTTAAAAAAAAAACCTTATAGAGAAGGAGAGAAAGAGAGAGAAAGCAGAGAGAGCAAATATTCATAAAAACGGAACAGAACCGCCCATTTTCAAGCAATCTCCTCCAATTGAATAGATCGACACTGCTGAAATGATACGGTAAAGAAATGACACATTGAGCAAAACTTGAAATTTTTAGTAACCGACTGAATTTTATGAAAAAATCGACAAAATTTATGGTAAGTGAACATTTTACCGCTGCAAACTATCTTTGAAAGAGGGAAGCAAAAGTAGGAGGAAGAGGAGAGGGAGATGGAAGGGAGAGAGAGAGAGAGAAGGAAGAGATGAAGGTGGTGGAGGAGGATAAAAGGAATTGCTGATGAGAGAGGGATGAAATTTAGGAGGGAGGAGAAAGAGGCGGTGAAAAGAAAAAGGAAATGGATGATACCTTGAAGAGGAATGAGGAAAGGAAATTTTTGGATTCAATTACCTGTGTTTGTGTATTCATGTATGTGTATTTGCTCACTGATTCATGATGCACCTGAATCAATGGTACTACTGTGTCTCTCATAAGGATACAAACAAGAAGAAGGCTGGTTTCAACCTAATTTTTCTTCTTCCATCTCTTCTTCAATAATTTGCATAAATTTACATCGAAAAAAAACTGCTTGTGTGGTCTATATTAGTACATTTCTTGTAGTACATTTTTCAGCAAAAATATTCTATTATTTAAATTTAAATTCTGCTTATTGCAACACTACTGCTACTATTGCTACTACTACTACTACTGCTGCTGCTACCGCTGCTACTACTACTGCTACTACTATTACTGCTACTACTGTTACTGCTACTATTACTACTACTACTATTACTGCTACTATTACTACTACTGCTATTATTATTGGAAAGGTAAATACAGTAAAGCTGTAAAAAGAAAAAAGAAAAGAGAAATTATATTGAATAATTAAAGAAGTACCAAAAGGAACTTTTAAAGGTGGGATAGTGGTGATGGTTAAATGGTGGGCACTGGTAATAGTACACCATTTTTAATCGAGACATTGTAAACTTTGCTCGCATTTACCACTTTGTGGCCATCATAAACCTGTCCAAACAAAAGAAACTACTCCGTTTTATCACTGCTACAAATACAAATATATCCATGAAATTATAGCATTTGCTAGTTCCATTCGTCTTATTGGCTGGTAAATTGTATGTTAATTGCTGAGATACTTTATTTGATTTGAAAATTTTTCATTCGGGCACTTAATTCAACTATAGTCTACCGGTAGGTAATTGTGCTCTGTGCCTTCTCAAATTATTCTTTCTCTTTCTCCCTCCCTCTCTCTCTCTCCCTCCCTCTCTCTCTGATTTTCTTCCTTTTTTACTGCATTATCAAAAAAAAAAAAATTATTGCTTCACAATATTTGCATCTCTCAAATGTTAATTTGTGTACATTTTTTCTGAAATTATTTAATGGCTGAAATTAAAATTATTCTGAAATTAATTGATTATAAATTAATTAACTGATTTTAAATCACTACATTTTCATTCTATTATTTCATCATTTAGTTCGAGAGGAAACAAAAAGAAAGAAGAGAAAAAATTGACACAAATTTGGAGAAATCAGTGAACGCAACAAATAAACCGCAAAGGAAAATGCGGTTTGTGAGGCAAAAGAGTGATATCAATTTGAGTGAGTTCAGAAGGCATTTTCAAGCAATTTTTTGTTATCGCGTCATTAGTTTTCCTTAATCACTTCCTATAAGTATCGTTAACTCGTATTTGAAACCTTGAACTGTATTTACTTTTGTATTTTAATCATTGAATATTTATGAGATTAAGAATGGAGGAAGTAGTTAAGTAAAATAAAAAGCATTCGTCATATAGAAAAGAAAAAATAATATTTATCTTTTCTTATCAATTTGATAATTGTTATTATTAAGTAAGTAGATGAAAATTTTGTTTTAGCTATCTTAGTATTTAAAAAAAATGATGCTCTCATTTAAATTAATTAATTAAAAAATAATTTTACCAGCCATATTTATCTGATTTCTTCGTATATTTGTGATCAAAAAATTTTTTCTTATTGCTATGCCTTTCTTATCGATCAGTATGAATTTCACATTAAATATGGATTAATTGAAATGATGATACGAAAGATTGATGACTATCGTTATTACAGTAATATTTCTTTTGTTTAATCAAATTATATTACATATTAGTTCAATATTGTCAATATAATTTTATTCATTTTTACAATTTTAATATTTCTTAAACAAATTTCTGCAAAATCAAAAATACATTTAGTTTTTTGATTGTTTGATTCATCAATGCTGAAAAATATCATTGATAATATTTTTAGTTGAACGGCGGTATGCACCGTTACTGTATGGTTATTATTTGTTATGTGCGCTATTGCTAGAGGAGAAGGCTTACGGTGTTCAAACAACACCACCCGAAAAACTAACTCAGGTATTAATTTTACAGTTATGAAAAATTTATACGTTCCATTTTTTTTCTTGATACATTCATTACTGAAACAGGGGATCGACAAGTCTCGATAGTATCTCAATCTTACCAATCTTTTATTATTTTAAATTTTAATTATTAAATATTTGTTATATTAACATAGAAAGATGTATTTAAGTATAATAAGCATTCGTTATTTTATAAGTATAGGTATAGGAAAAAATATTCCAGCCATTGTTGCATCATCATTAGCTGCTAATTTCTAGTGACATTTTTGCGTCATTTATGTATCAAATATATATCAGGGCTGTTCGCCAGAACTTCTTCATCTACGATCCCATCGACATTTCCACGTATTATGTCGTAGTCAACCTGCGATAGCAGTCGCAGCTTATGAAGGAATGCAAGACGCAATGATACAATGTAAAGAGCAGATGCGTTTTCAGCCTTGGGATTGTTCTCAAATTATTACTGTACTACAAGATCCACCTATTCTACGTCTCGGTACACTTACTCTCATATTATTTCAAGTTAAATTGCTTAAAGATAATAAAATTGCTGGAAATTAGAAAAATTTTATTAGAAAATTAAATTGCTTGAAGACAAAAAAAATTAGGAAAAAAAATTTTATATTAAAAAAAATGCTAAATTAGAAAATCACGAAGGATTTATTACGAGAATAATAGATTTATTCAGGAACTCGAGAGTCAGCATACCTATGGGCACTTACATCAGCAGGTGCAGCGTGGGGTGTTGCAACAGCTTGCTCTCAAGGATGGCTTCCCGATTGCTCGTGTAGCGGTCGTGATGAACTGAAACAAAATTGGGAATGGGGTGGTTGCTCATATGGTGTACAATTTGGAATAATAACATCCAGAAAATTGCTTACAAGAAGTGCTACTTCTCGATCTCCTTTGAGAAAGCTGGAAAAACACAATTTAAAAGCTGGAAGATTGGTGAGAATTCAATTTCCATATGCTATAAATTATGAAATAATACCTGAAGAAATACAATGTAGCACAAATACACACTGTTATTAAAATGTTGAACATATTTGCTCAAGCTGCTTATTAGCTTTATTTAAATTTTTCGTATTTACTTAAAACAACAACATTAGTTTGTTATATATTTTATAATAAGTAAATTATGAAATAAGCTAAAATTAACGTATAAGTTAAAGGAAAAGATTTGATTGATTAGTAATGATAATGGTTTACTGATTTATTGTCACTTATATAAATTTTAAACAAATTTGATATCGAATCTTTCGATTTAATTAATTTCAGGCGGTAAAGAAAACTTTAATATCATCCTGTAAATGTCATGGTGTAAGTGGAAGTTGTGATCAGAAGACTTGTTGGAAGAAAACTGCTGCACTATCAACAATCGTACAACACATTACTAATAAAATGCATAAGGTCATTTGTACTAATTCATTAATTATATTTTATAAAATTTTTTTGAAAAACAAAACTAATCAATCATTTAATGGTGCTACTTTTTGAAGCCATTTAAATATATTTATATTCTAGGCCAGAAGACTTCCTGATGTAAATTCTCCGGCTAAGAATGCAGAACTGGTATATATGGAAGATAGTCCGGATCCATGCCGTTCAACTCGAATCACTAATCGGGTATGTAATTGGAGGAACGAAACAAGTAGCCAAGGCGATTGTGGCTTATTATGTTGTGGACGTGGGTTCAAGGTGTCTTATTTATATTTGATTTACAAATTACTGCTAAAATGATCAATCTAAAATCATTGACCAGTATGAAATTGAAATTCTCTACAGCTTTCTTTTATCAAAATCAATTTATACTCAAAAATATATATGCCATAAAGAAAACAAATTGTTCACACTTAGTACATAGTTTTTTTGTTTGTTTTCTTACAGGTATCACATGAACTGATATCATATCAGTGTGATTGTCAGTTTGTCTGGTGCTGTCATCTGAAATGCAATACTTGCCTCAGGCATCGATGGGTTTCCACTTGTAATTAGAATACCCAATGTTGCAAGTTAAAAAATGACCTATTCATTTCTCATAACTTCCCAAAGATTGTGACAAAACAAAACTTATAGGTTAAAGAAATGTTTACTTCTTTTTTCTTTTCATTTATGTCATCTTTTTTTTTAATTTCAAAGTCACTCGAAGCTCAATCATTTTGTTCGCATTATTTTTGTGCTGTTGAAAGAAATTTTTGCAACTTTTTTCTTTTCTTAAATAAGCATCCATTATTTGCATTACAGTAATATTTTTACTTATCCAAACAAATCTATATTAAAACATCATACAAGATTAGTTTGTTAATTAATCAGCTACAAATTATTATCTATCAAATAAATAATTGGATGTAAATCTTCCACGATCAAACACAATTCATTTTGTTGACTGTATATAATTATGCCTGATAAGATGAATGATTAATTTTTAATATCATTTCTCTCTTCCTCTTTCTATCTGTACATAATGTTAGCGGTGGCACATATTTCATCCTTACATTCTTACATTGAATTCAACACGAATTTATCTTTATGACAGTTTACATATTCTAAAAAGAATGCACGAATATTTGAATTATAGATTGATGGCCAAGGGATTAATTAGTCCTGATAATTTTTCATCCTATCCTTGTCCTCTTGTCTTGTTTTTAGAGATATCAGCTGTATTGCTATGATGATGAAAGAGTAAGAGGAGAGAAGGCATAAGGGTAGGAAGAATTAGAATTGTAATTTGAAATGATACGGTATAAGTAATATCATTTAATTAGTCAATATTTTGATAAACATCAATTTAAAAAGATTTTTTTCTATTGCTCTTTTTTATTATTTCGTGTATTTACTCATATATGCTATCAATTAATATAAATTTTTGCTTTTACATAATTCTAATTTTTTGTTAAAATTTATGACTTCAAATAAATGTAGTCTTAAAATCACATTCAATTTCATATAAAATTTACCAAAAAAAAAATCCTTTAAAAGAGCAATACGAAAATCATTTCACACGAGGAATTAATTACTGAACGAGTTGAAAGGTGAATGATATTTCAAATATAAGTAACAAAGAGAAATTTGAAAAAAAAAGTCAAAAAAAGAGTGAAGCTTTTGAAAAACAAAATTTGAACACCCTCGAAGGAAATTCATTCTTTTTTTTTTCTTCTTCAAATTTCCTTTTTTTTTTTAATGAGAAGTTGAGCGAAGATGCATACACATATTACTGCTATTTCTTTTTTTTGTATTCCAACTTTTCAAATTTCAGGAAAAAAAGAATAGAAGAAATAAATCAAATTACTCATTTTAGCGGAAAAGAAGAAAAAGAAAAAAAAAATTAGCAAACAATTTTGTAAAAAGAAATAATCAAATGATGGTTAGACAGGAAATCAAATAATTGCCTTTGAATGGATGAATTGTCGGTAAATGTCGTCTGCCGCATTATCCCCTCTTTCGTTGTACTTGTCGGTGACCACCCGCTGGCCTCCATTTTCTTCCCGGTTTGCTATATTTATTTCTATCACCGATGGACAATACATGTTGTTTTTGTAAAAAAAAAAGAAATTTTTCAATTAAAAATTTTATTATCATTAAGAGAAAAATGACTGAAACGTGAGCAAATTTCCGTCATCTATTTTTAATAGAATTCATGTGTTTTTTTCATTTCTACATTTCAAACATTTAAGACAGCGTAACTCGATCATTTAACGCGTGCATTTTACTGTATTTTCGTCTCATCGATTGCCATCAGATGTAATATTTCAAGAATCAGGTCAAGAAATACCATTCAAATATATCACACCATCAGATGTAACATTTTTTAAGAACCAAGCCGAATAATATTTTTAAAATTTAAAATAAAAATGAAATGGTATCATTATTGAAAAACTTCTACTGAAATCCAATTGAAGAAGGACCAATCAAATTAACTGACTTCATGCTTTCCATCCAAAGAAGTTTTGTGTCACAGAAAATTTTTCTCGAAAATACTGTATACATATTCTCCATGAAAATGGGCTTTTAATGAGTTATTTTCTAATTTTTTTCTACCGAATAATGTCGGTGAAATTTAATTGAACTACTGTGCTGCTGCTGCTACTACTGGAACCGGACAGAAATCAGTTCAACTGTGTGCAATTGAAGGCGAAAGAAAGTCGTAAAACCATAAAATTCGTCATTTCAAATTAGAAAAATCTTGAAATTTACCCGCAAAATGGCAGCATGCAAGTCATGCAACAGTAGCAAATTTTATGACTCTTAAAAAGGAATCATTCATGTTCAGTTATCTACCCTTTAATTGTTTCACCTGAGCATCAAAATTTGAAGCATCAAAATGAATCATCAGATTTCCATGTGAATTTGAATGGGTCAACGAAAGAAGTTCAAAACATTCGACATA